ACATTTGCCGCTTTAGATGAGAAAGTGAGTATCACCAAAATGACGTATTTATCTTTGTATTACTTGCGTGTTGCGAAGTCATCAAGTTAAGGAAATCTTACGTCAATAACAACAAATAATATTGGTGAACAAGTCGGTACTCTTAAGACAGTTCGTTTTCAACATAAATGTTTTCAGGACTTCGGCAGTGCTTTACAACAAGTGTATACATCGTTTCATGATAAATGTAATTTGGTAGTTGGGATAAACCAGAAGGATATTGACGAAATGAAAAATGGAACATTTCCCAATGACGAAAGGGTTCAGGTAATGTTTATCGATATAATTTATGAACAGATTTGAAATGAAGAATCTATTCTATGAATATACTATATGATTGTCAATATGTATTGAATATATTCTGTTTTTTGCAGCGTTATGTACTGTGTCTCTACGTTTTCTCGGGTGTGGTGAGTAGACATACTTCTGAATATTTATTTGGGTATTTTTGTTGAAACGTATAAGAATAGGTTTTGAATGTATACTGTACATGGAAGATTCAAGGTTTTCCTGAAACTTCGGAACAATTATACCTGAAACGTGTATAACCACAGAACGTTTGTGTTTTGTATTGTACCAGTTGATACTGCCTACGCACATATTTCCAAACATCAGTTTGATTGACGTTTCATGAAAGAGAATATTCACGAAGTAATGATGATTATTTTAATTATTCCAGGGTTTCTTTTCCTTGAATTTTTTAGGTTTCGATTTTCATTTCATAATTGTATTGAATCATATGAATGTATAGAATCAATTATCAAACACCTTTCTTAAACAAATTGAAAGGTGTATATTCAAGATTTGTTTTTTGGAAAGAAAGGTCGTGGCTATGTATAGACTAGGTTTTTCAAAATTGATTGATTACATCTTTTTTTTGGAGGTTTCCCACTTGTGTTTGTATGAATATTGAAAAACTAGAAAGCCCTGTCTTTCCCAAAAATGTCTAAAACACCTGTTGCAAATTTGTGATTCGTTTTCCATTTTCAGTTATCCACTGACCTCAGTGTCAATATAGATCTGTTTGAATATTATGCCCCAGGAAAAATCAATGAACAAACTTACATTGACTGTTTTGAAGAAACCAAAAAATCTGGTGAGTTTCTTGATCACTTTCTTATTATTTTATTTCCGCCAAATGCATCGAAAATGTTCACACTGAAGTAATTACAAAGACGTTCCAGATATGTTTATTCCAAGAATAATTCCTAATATTTTTTACTTCTTCCTAATTGGTCATTCTTTCCATTTCTTTGTATTGGTGGAATTTGTGCTTATTGAAAGTTTGAGAAATTAGAATCAAACCAGTACTTACGATTACCATCACCATTAAATTCAAAAACAATTTGATAAAGTCACGTCGCATTATTCTCATCATTCATTTTATTTGAATCTACAGGTATTCATGAACCAGCTCATCTCATGGTATGGAAAGCAACTCAATGTATTTACAACAAAGATCCTGAGGTGAGTTCGAATCAAAATGTTGATATCAACATTTTTCTCTACAGCCTACGAGGTGTGTCTAGAAAATAACGAGACGGTTTTCTGTGACACAAACAAAAATCCTCTCAGTTTCTAGCCAAACCCTGTATACAGGGTTTGGCTGAAACATCACACATAATTGCTTTGGAATTGTTCCGAAATGAAGCTCACAAAACTAAGAAAAATGAGAGTTTTCTTCCCTGCTAGAACTTTTGACTTCATCAACTTCTTTCAAAGACGATGCATTGTTATTCAATTTCATTGTTATTTTCAATTTCAAATCATTGTTTGGTATTCTATAAAGTTTATTTTCATTTTCAGAATTTCCTCATGTACTGAAGAGAAAACGAGTCAAGGAAATTGAAGCTGCTTTGACATGATGTGAATGCTATAAAATAATTTAAATTGTTGATTTATGTCTTTGGAAAAAGTGATTAAATATTCCAACTCCATATATAAGTTTTTTTTGATACATTAAGTCGTTTAGTATATCGCTGATATAGTCGTTTCGATATCGACGAATACTGATAACGAAGATAGAACATACACAAATACAATAATTTTGAATATCCTTGACAAAAAGCCGAAAAAAATAGTAAAACGGACAATGCTACTGTACCAAACTTCAATGAAATGTTTGGAAACACCGAAGAAGGATTTGTGCTGTATCTTAAACGCTACCAAATACTCTCGAACACATTATGAATGGTCTGACCGTTTACTTGATGAAAATTAAAAATACCATCCATGATAATAAAATGGAACAATTTTCACAAAATTATTTTCGAAATTTAGTGAAAATTGTTCATTTATTATCACGAATAGTCTTGAACAGATAATTTGAATAATTGGATGATTCTTGTGCTGGAACTATCCTCATCGAATACGAGGTACCACAGGGAACCATTTTAGGTCCGAAGCTTTCTTCCATCTATTTCAATAACCCATACGGGTGGGCTAAGAAGTACTACAGAAATGATTGGTTTGGCAGATATAATGTGGTATCTCATGAAGAAGCTAGTTGGAATTAATGAATTATTTATAAATTAATAATAAAAAAGTATTGGTTTATTGAAAAATATTGACAACCAACCAGGAAAATGCACAGTATCTACCAATCACCTGCAAGAAATAGACTGATTAAACTTCAACTGAATAGAAATGAAAAGAATAAAATTGATGCAAACTTGAGATGTTCACGGATAGATTCAGAATACATTAATTTTTGGAAAAGGAAACTCAATGCAAAGATCATGAGAAGACATAAACTGAAAAAAAGCCCTCTCAAAAGAGCTGTTTTCATATGAACGTTTAATAACACAAAAGATGGAGAAATATAAAGCCAAACCCTTCCTTTCTCAAAAATTATCATAAAATTAAAATTCATGCCAAATTACCAATATGTATTCTATTTAGGAAAAAATCAGTTGGCCAAAGAGCTAATAAATACTTGAGACCAAAAATATACAACTTTCTCTACGAAGAGATGAAAATACCCACTAACTGAATTGGAAGAAAGCGAAAAAGTTTTCACATTTTGATATACAGTTTCTTTCGGCCATAGTTTCTTTCAACATTTTCATAAATTGATATATTGTTTTTTATATTTTTCATTTCATTGTTACTTTCATATTTTGATAATTAACATACTTAAAGCTGATTGAAAATTGATTTCAAATTGCTCATCAGACTCGTGTTCATCTACACACCGAATATTTCATTCACATGTGAATCATTTTATTCCTTTAAAGTTATTGCATTTATCGTTATTCAAATTTCAAATTAGATAAACTCTCTCTAAAGAAATAATAGAACCTAAGCAATTGATGATTGTTTTCCGAATGGAAATGATTTCGAGATGATTTTGGTGTATCCCAAGGAGTTTCTTCAGGCCCTCTATGATTTTAATTGTTATAAATATTACTTCTACAAAGATTTTGCTGTTCAGTTCTGGGCAAAGATGTAAATTCCGTTTGAGAAATGAACAAATCGAATAACAAGTCGCCTACTTTTCCAAATGAAAGTGAATGTTTTCAAATTCACAACTTATAAATACAAAAACTTTGACACGATGCAACTCAAGATGATACTGGAGAATTTATAGCAAGTTTAATAGTAGGTTAAGTGCTACACAAACGTTTATAGTTCAGTGATAATTTTTCTCACTTTTTTCATTTCAAATCTCCACTTGTCTTTCAACATATTCCAAAAATTATTGTATATAACACAATTCAGACATTTCGACAACTACAGAGGTATACTTTGATCTGAACAAAATCCAACTGCTACAAAACTGGTAAAACGGCAACATGAATTGAATAAATCAATGTTTTTGTTGAGGTAGTTGTTTCAAACAGATCATTTCCATTAATGTATTTCAATGTTCACACAAAAGTAGCTGTTTCTAAAGGCATTTTATTTCTCCAATTTGTATCGATAAGAAACTTCTATGTGAACATATTTTGTAATTATTTTCATTCTTTCTTTGAAAGTTTTTTACATTTTTGTTTGATGATGAAGAAGAAGAAAGTCAAAATGTTTTATTCATGAAACTAATATCTCTAACATAGTATCACATCATTATGTGCATCAAACGTGCTTTTGGTGATATAGTAACCCTCTCGAAAGTTCTAGAACAGTCTATAACATTCAAGAATATTCGAAAGCATTTCACAACATTACAGAACATCTAATCAAAAAAGTTACAATATGGTAGCTCTCCATCATCCATGCTTTCACTTGAAATGGAGCTGGAAGTTTCGTTCTCAAAATAGTTTAAGAATAGTCCAGACGATTCGAATGTTCAATGGAATTTGAAAATTTGCTTTTAAAGATATGTGAGGTGGAATATTTGCCTTCTAGAAAATTCTAGAATAGTCCAGAAAAGAAGAGTTTAAACCTTTTATTTTATGTTGTGGACCATAGTTTGAGGAATATATACAAATGTACCGAAATTATCTATAGACGTCAAATTCTTCTAATCACTAAGACATCTAAGAAGTAGATGTGTGTTAGCGATTTCAAATTCATAGCCCTATCAATATCAAATTTCACTTTCACTTACTACACTGCGAAAAAATTAAAATTTACGATGTATTTCCATATTTTTTCAACCTTGTCTATCGCAAGAAAAATCAAATGTTATTGCAGTTTGACTAGTTTTTACTTGCTTGAGTTCCCTTGAGTGGCTGTTAATTTTTATAGCTTGTGATATTTCTGATTTAATTTCATTCGGTTTTTTATGATGAAGCCGATTGTATGAAAAACTTTTCTAGTTCTCAAGTTCTATATTTTCAGTTCATTTTGTGAGTTGAACCAAAATTTTTATAAAATGAACAGGTATCTAATATTTGCTAGCATCTACATTTCTGTTGCAGATAATTGACTCTAAAAACACGTGTATTGACTCTTTCATTGCATTTTTCAACACATCAACAATTTCACCGTTCTTGAAAATCCTCAGGGAAGGTATTTGAACGGTGGAGTTGGTTTAAGTTTCTATGAATTCTAATATCGATTTGTACAGAGTTCAAATGGACTATTTATTATTATTCCTTGCTCAACTGTTCACTTTCAGAAATTCACCATATAATACGCTTTTAAGATTTTCATCATCCGCCTTAAGTTGGTTGCTAATAATGACATTAGTATCACTAGGATCTTCTCTCACTTTTGGTGCTATGGATGAAAAAGTAAGTATTATACATACGCTAAATTTCTATAATTTAAACAAAAGGATATTCGCATGTTTTGGGATTTAACAGTTTTTCACCATAGAGATTATCTGAATTGACAAGAGGGTGTTTTTTAGGACAGGTTTTTGCGAAAGAAGCTCCTCTCTTTCTACTTCCCATTTTTTCTCAAAAAATGTGAACATTTTTCGAAAAAAGAAAGTCCATATGAATCAACTGCTTTGAAATATATGAACACTGAATTACATAAAAATAACTTTTTTTTAATTCACTCTTTATTCCAAAAAGTCATTATGGAGTTACGGAAACATACAGAAAATCTACAAAATGAAACATAAAACAGAACTTCTATACCTGGTATTCAGGCAAATATCCATATGAAAGTTTTCACATATTGTCGTCGTGATAGAGGTATAACTGTCTTTTCTTGTTTTGGTCGTAAAATTGTGCGAGATATGTGTGTTTCTGTCTCCTATTTTGTACTCCAAACATTCGCTATAGAATTGAATCCGATATAATTCACAGGATTGTTATGTAAGAGATCGAATTTCACTTACATGAAACACTGTCATCCCCAATGGTGGACATCGATGTTTCGGAGTGAGGCACTGTCTTATTGTCTTTCCAGCAACACTGAATTCATTGATTATGACTTTATGTTTACGACAAGTTAGCATTTATGAAAAATTGAACTTGACTGCTTTATTCCTTTCTTCAGAAGTTTCTAACATTTTTTTTTTCAAATGGTGAAGTGAAAAGCTAAAAGACTTCTTCCTAAAGAGTATCTGGAAAATATATTATCTATTCCAAAGTACAGAATAGTCTTGAAAAAAATTCAGGATAATTTGTATTTGAAAAAAAAGTTTATTTTCAATGAATCGATGGTACAACAACAATACATTTTTTTAACAGGACTATGGCAGCGATTTACAACAAATATATAAAATATGGCATGACAAATGCAATCTGATAGTAGGAATCAGCCAGGAAGAAATAAACAATTTGAGAAATGGAATACCTACTGAAAACGAAAGAGTTCAGGTATTGTCTTTGAGTCTAATAATTCCCAACTGAATAATTAGTTCAGTAGTTTGTAACTATTGTAACTATTGTATTCAGTATTTATAGTTCATCCATTGTTTTGTTTTTCAGCGTTACGTATTATGCCTCTTCCTTGTTTCAGATGCGGTGAGTACGAACACATTTCCACTTTATTTCGTTATTTTTAATGGTTTTTTCTGAGGTAAATGTTTTTGATGGTGTAATAAAATGTTCACAGCGAACTAGGCTGATTTTCATATTTTTTTCAATTGCAGTTATCACGTGACCTTGTTATCAATACGGATATAGTCAATCATTATATGCCAAAACGAATGACCGAGCAGAGTAAAAAAAATTACTTCGACTGTATTGAGGAAACAAAAAAATCTGGTAAGTATCGGTTTGTATTATTATAGGGTGAGAAATGTCTTGGCTTTCTACTTTTCTATATTTATACAAAAACTGTGGGAATCTTCCAAAGAAAGGAAGCTTGAAATCAAATCAAAAAATCAACTCTGTAGAAAGATTTGTATATATCATGCAAAGAAGTTAATTTCAGATACAAACTGGGAGAAAAAGCTCTCTGGAAACAGCTACTTTCATATAAACGTTGAATTACACGAAAGAAAAATTTTTTCGAAACAAATACTTTTATATGAACAATGTATTACACAAAACAAAAAAAATTCTCTGCTTAGTTTGTATTCCAAACATTTGTTATAGAAGTGAATCAGATATCTTTCACAGGATTCATCCACAATATAAAAAATGAAAGGTGAAAATTTCACTTACATGGAACACTATCATCCTCACTGGGACATCGATGTTTCGGAATATTGCCTCTTGAGCACCAATCTGGATGATAATACTATAAGTGATATAAAAAAACCATGGAGAAAGCTACACGCTTCCTTAAATGCTATGGCATGTCGAATCATTTTTGTATGTGGCTCTTCCTGAAAGAACATTTCCTTGCAAGTGGCCGAAAACTTTTTTCATCAACGCTGGGATTCCCCAGGGATCCATATTTTCTCCAAACTTTTTTTCATTGTACATCCAATATATAGATTTGCTGATGACAGCACACTTGTCCCGTCATTCAATTTGGATTCCATGACATCGACTGCACATGCACATCTTCAATGGCAGTAGAAGGTTGCGTATCTTAATGAGGATATAGACGTGATTTCGAATTGGGGTAAAAGTAACCAGGTCCCAATTCAATACCACAAAAACCCAGGCATCAGTTTTTTCCAAAAAGATAAATGTTTCCGAACCGGATATAATAATGCCAGGTCAGACAATTCAGCTTTCTGCTTTGATGAGTTTGTTGGGGGTTAAAATCGACACCAATATGTTTTGGCACAATAATGTCGCTGGAATTGCAAAGATTGCTTCTCAAAAGCTTGAAACATTGTTCCTAACCAGAAAACTGTACATAACTCGGCAACTTTTGATGCATTATGGCATAACCTGAAGCTGCTGGATTCCATCCACAATGGAGCTATCCGCCTGATTGGAGAAAAGAATATCACTTGAAACCTTGATAGTCTGGAACATAGAAGAAAGTTTGGAAATTTGTCTCTCTTCTATAGATACTTCCACGGGAACTGTTCCAGTAACTTGGCATATTTGATTTCACCAAGAGCGGAATATATCAGAAATATGCGACGGACTATGACTGCTCATTTTGAGGTTCAACTCAGTACACCTCGAACTTCACTTTTCCAGAACTCTTCCATTTGGAGAACTGCGTGTATGTAGAATAAACTTCCTGGGAACGTTTTTCCAGTATGTAATGACATTCATTCGCTCATTTGATTGAATTCCAGTCATAGGAATTTTGTTTGATTTGAAAAGTATAAATTTTCAGGAGAGAATAAATTTTGGAAACGGTCGTACCTTTCTACACCTCCATATTTTATTCTAACTACCACCAGTTGTATGAAAAATTACGGTGTTGAATGAATATCCTTTAAATAGCTAAGTTTTCAATATAAGGAGTGATATTTTTGCTGGTATGTATTTGGCAACACTGTTTTTGACAGAACACGGCGTGAATCGTGACTTGTGTCATTGTCATACTTGTTCAGTTTGGCCTATAATTTAATCATGAATCGACTTACGAATAAACAACGCTCGCAAATTATTGAATTTTATTATCAAAATTCATGTTCGGTGAAAAAAGTGCATCGTGCACTTCTTCCAATTTATGGGCAGTTTCGTCGGCCGACTGAGGGAGCTAATCGGAAGCTTGTAAAAAAATTTCGAACTCAGTTTACATTATTGGACATTACACCACCAACACGCATACGTAGAGTGAGGACCGAAGAAAATATTGCGGCTGTATCCGCCAGTATTCATGATGACCGTGAAATGTCGATTCAGCGCCGTTCGCCGCAATTGTTACTTCACTACGTGGAAAATTTTGCGAAAGGATTTGGGTGTAAAACCTTATAAGATACAGCTGGTGCAAGAATTGAAGCCACACGACCTTCCAGAACGTCTCACATTTGGTGAATGGGCGCTGGAAAAGTTGGGGGGAGATCCACATTTTTATGGAAAAATTTTGTTTAGCGACGAGGCTCATTTCTGGTTGAATTGATACGTTAACAAGGAAAATTGTCTCATCTCAAGCCAGACCTACCGATGCATCCCGAAAAAGTCATTGTTTGGTGTGGATTATGGGTCGATGGCATCATCGGGCCGTACTTCTTCAAAGACGACAATGACCGGAACGTTACTGTGAATGGCGAGCGCTACCGTGTGATGATTGACGACTCTTTGTTACCCAAAATGAAAGAATTGGACATGCTTGACATGTGGTTTCAACAAGATGGTGCCACACGGCACGCGAAACAAGAGCCCGATTAAGAGCCGCTTTCAGTGCACAGTTTATCTCACGTTTGGAGCCCGTCAATTGGCCACCTAGATCGTGTGATTTAACGCCTTTGGATTATTTCTTGTGGGGTCATGTTAAGACTCATGTCTACAGGGATAAACCAGCAACGACTAACGCTCTGGAAGCCAATATTGAAGTATTTATACGTGAAATACCGGTCGATATGTTAGAGAGAGTGTGCCAAAATTGAACCTTGCGCATGGGCCATCTAAAGCGGAGCCGTGGACAACATTTGCATGAAATCATCTTCAAACATTAAATTATATTGATCGTTCTATCAATTCCAATAAAGATTTCATCAATTATTTCAAATTTTTTGTTTCGTTTTGAAAATCAAATCCTATAACTCTCAAAAAATCACCCGTAATCGTAGTTCATTAATGTGTATTTTTGATTTTTAGGTATAAGAGTACCACATTTAATCACTTGGAATATTATTGAATGTGCTTTCAAGAAAGATCCTGAAGTGAGTATATTTCGAAATATAATCAATAATTTTTCTTCTGAAAGATTTCCATATAAAAGATATAGAATATTGACAAAATTCTCATCAAATTTGCAACCACTGTTGAAAAGTATTTCTTCCATAAGCTTGTTATTTTCAGAACTTCATTATATTCTGAGAACCAAAATGGACCAGTGCAAATATAGTGAGTGACGTAGATATCTGGAAAAACGACCATGTTCATAAACACAGAAATTAATCGTATTTCTCTTCTGGATAGTTTTTTCTAGGAATAAATATTTAAATTCGATCCCATTCTTTTTTTCTGCATTTAGGCTGGAAAGTCAGAGTATACCATTACAGAAGCATCTACGATAAATAATTTTTCGATTGAAAAAATGACGTTACACAGGATAGGTTTACTGAGATATATTAGTCAAATATACACTTTTGACAAGTATAAACTTAAAATTTATCCAACTGAGCACATTCAGAAAAATTTTCAGTGAGTCAGTAGAGTCAAAACAATTTGTTATTAGAATAACTGCATATACACATGAAGTAACATGAAAATACCCAGAAAACTATTATTTTCAGCCGGTTTTATTTGATGGGTTCGTGCACACTGCCATCCTGGTTGGATCTGTTCTACATTGACGTGGGAAAATACCTCGAAACCCAACTGTAGGTGATTACTCGATTTATTTAAGCTATTGGCGGAAGAGGAGCGTCTATAAGAATTCATTCCGTGAGGAATTTGAATAAATATCTTTCAGATATAATCTCACCAGTAACTGATGAAGCTGTTATGTAGCGAAACGCGAATTCAAATCAGACTTATGGATGGTATAATTCCAATGTCTATCGTGATATTAGCCGGAAAAGTAGTTGTTAACCAGTATGCATTTTCCAAGTTGTATTGCGAAGGATCGTGATAAATATATGGTTTTAAATTTGAAATATTTTCTTCGAAATATCGTTTTTGGCGAAGGCAGTGGGTAAATACTTTGACTCGATTAACTAGAAATGAAACTATCGAAGAAAACATATTTTTTGTACCACATGAAAACGTAAGTATTTCTCGTATACCAATGAGAACGATAGTTTTAAATTTTTAACTTAATTTCATTCCAAAATTTCACTATAGCTCAAATAAAGGTATTGATTTACTTCACCATGATTTCTTTTGAGATTTTTTGAAACGTTGTTAGTCGAAAGGGCTAACACTGAAGTAGTTGTCCTGTCCTGTCCTGTCCTGTCCCGTCCATTCCAGTCCGGTCCGTTCCGCTCCGGTCCGGTACGGTCCGGTCCAGTCCAGTCCTGTCCGGTCCGGTCCAGTCCAGTCCTGTCCGGTCCAGTCCAAATATTTTCTTCTAAATAACGTTTTTGGCGAAGGCAGTCGGTAAATACTTTGACTCGATTAACTAGAAATGAAACTATCGAAGAAAACATATTTTTAGTACCACATGAAAACATAAGTATTTCTCGTATACCAATGAGAAAGAAAGTTTTAAATTTTTAACTCAATTTCATTCCAAAATTTTACTATAGCAGAAATAAAGGTTTCGATTTACTTCACAATAATTTCTTTTAAGTGTTTTCGAAACGTTGTTAGTTGAAAGGGCTAACACTGAAGTAGTTGAAATTTTTAACGAGTGAGATATAAAATAATGGGCAAATAATGGGCAAAAATCAACTAGATATTTTGAGTTAACAAATATGGATGTTTTTTGAGGAAAAATAGTTTTTGAGAAAAACATTTGGCTTCCTACTACTCACTGCCCATTCTATTTAATACATAGAGTAAAAAACTTTCGACGAAATAAAGAAAATAAATTAGAACCAACGATGAAACCTTTTCGCAAAGATCTGTAGATTCTGTGAAGGATTTTTTCACAAAAACCAAAAGAATAGTCCAGTCCGGTCCGGTCCGGTCCAGTCCGGTCCTGCCCTGTCCGGTCCGGACCGGTCCTGTCCGGTCTGGTCCTATCCGGTCAGGTTCGGTTTGGTCCGGTCCGATTCGGTCCGGTCCGGTCCTGTCCCTTTCAGTCCCGTCCGGTCCGATTCGGTCCGGTCCGGTCCTGTCCTGTCCGTTCCGGTCAGGTCCGGTACGGTTTGGTCCGGTCCGATTCGGTCCGGTCCTGTTCTGTCCGTTCCGTTCCGGTCCGGTCCGGTCCTGTCCAGTCCTGTCCGGTCCGGTCCGGTCCGGTCCGTTCCGGTCCGGTCCGATACGATCTGGTCCAGTCCTGTCCGGTCCGTTCCTGTCCTGTCCTGTCCTGTCCTGTCCGGTCCTGTCCTGTCCTGTCCTGTCCTGTCCGGTACGCTCCGCTCCGCTCCGTTCCGCTCCGTTCCACTCCGCTCCGCTCCGGTCCGGTCCGGAGCGGCGAAGGCAGTGGCTTAATACTTTGACTCGATTAACTAGAAATGAAACTATCGAAGAAAACATATTTTTTGAACCACATGAAAACATAAGTATTTTTCGTATACCAATGAGAAAGAAAGTTTTAAATTTTTAACTTAATTTCATTCCAAAATTTTACTATAGCTGAAATAAAGGTATTGATTTACTTCACAATAATTTCTTTTAAGTGTTTTTGAAACGTTGTTAGTTGAAAGGGCTAACGTTGAAGTAGTTGAAATTTTTAACGAGTGAGATATAAAATAATGGGCAAATAATGGGCAAAAATCAACTAGATATTTTGAGTTAACAAATATGGATGTTTTTTGAGGAAAAATAGTTTTTGAGAAAAACATTTGGCTTCCTACTACTCACTGCCCATTCTATTTAATACATAGAGTAAAAAACTCTCGACGAAATAAAGAAAATAAATTAGATCCAACGATGAAACCTTTTCGCAAAGATCTGTAGATTCTGTGAAGGATTTTTTCACAAAAACCAAAAGAACAGTCCAGTCCGGTCCGGTCCGGTCCGGTCCGGTCCGGTCCGGTCCGGTCCGGTCCTGTCCTGTTCGGTCCGGTCCGGTCCGGTCCGATTCGGTCCGGTCCGGTCCTGCCCTGTCCTGTCCGGTTCGGTTCGGTCCGGTCCTGTCCCGTTCGGTCCCTTCCGGTCCGATTCGGTCTGGTCCGGTCCTGTCCTGTCCGTTCCTTTCCGTTCCGGTCCGAACCAGTCCGGTCCGGTCCGGTCCGGTCCGGTCCGGTCCGGTCGGGTCCGGTCCGGTCCGGTCCTGTCCTGTCCTGTCCGGCCCGGTCCGATTCGGTACTGTCCTGTCCTGTCCGGTCCGATCCGATCCGATCCTGTCCGGTCCGATTGGGTCCGGTCCTGTCCTATCCTGTCCGGTCCTTCCTGTCCTGTCCGGTCCTGTCCTGTCCTGTCCGGTTCGGTCAGGTCCGATTCGGTCCGGTCCGGTCCGGTCCGGTGTGGTCCGGTCCGGTCCAGTTCAGTCCAGTCCAGTCCAGCCCAGTCCAGTCCAGTCCAGTCCAGTCCAGTCCAGTCCAGTCCAGTCCAGTCCAGTCCCGTCCCGTCCAGTCCAGTCCCATCTAGCCCTGTCCCTTCCCATTTCATCCAGTCAGGTGCAGTCCCTCAGTCCGTCCGGTCCAGTCCATCCCATTCCGTTCCGCATCTTCCCATCCTATCTCATCCCATCCCATCACATCCTATTCTTACTTATGCTATGCTATGATATGCTATTCTGTGCTCTCCCCAAGACTAGAACTGTGACACTTTCACCGAAGCGTGTTTCTCCAACTAAGAAGGCGTCTTCTTGGTTGGAGTCATCATTTGGAAAACAGTAAATCGCCAATCGAGTTGTTTCGAGAAATGTGAATGGATTTGTTCGTTCAACTAATAACGAACAGTCATTTTCTAGCCAACCATTACCGCCATCAACTCAAAATGAACAATAAACAACAACGAATTCATCGAAACGGCTAATTGGTTTGTGCTCTCAAAGTAACAAACAATTGAATAAACGAAATAACGTCACTCATTAACGCAGATTAACTATATTGAATTGGAAAGTACACATCGCCCCCAGAAGCAATCTCGCAAAGAGCAGTTACATAATATTCCACATATACATCAACATCGAGTTAGAGATTCATGGCGACGTAATGAAACCAAATTGTTTAAATGTTGGCAACACAAACGCAGGGGCCCCACCGATTCAATTTCCTACAACCCAGCCGCATGACTATGGTAATTAGCGAGGCAGGTGCTAGTCTAGTTATAAGTGACATTATTGGAAAAATCATAAAAAGGCGGCTAATTTACTTTCTCTATAAGAATAACATATTGAGTCCACAGCAGTATGGGTTTCAAAACAACAAAAATACAAGTGATGCAATTTTTAACTTTCTGCTTAAGATTTAGTGATATGAATTCTGGTGCCTATTCAGCAGCTGTATTCTGTGACTTTTCGAAGGTATTTGACCTCGTTGATCACGGAATCTTACTGCGGAAGCTGAAACATTATGGTTTTGAGCACAGAAGCATTAGATGGTTTGAATCGTAGTTATTGCATCGAAAACAAATTATAAGACTCTCAACCGACTCAAATGTAGGAGAAATCAAACCAGGTGTCCCTCAAGGTTCCATCCTAGGACCCATCTTGTTTCTATTGTATATTAATGATATAACACAACTGGATCTAACTGCTAGCATCACATTATTTGCAGACGACACAACGTTGCTGTGGCAGGGAAAAGATCCTACAAAACTAGCTCAAGATGTCACTGTAGACATGGAAAAAATTAAGAGGTGGTGCGATTTAAATAAGCTTTCTTTAAACTTTGATAAAACCCATCTCCTCACCTTCAAATGTGAACTCCCACCTCTTAGTTTGAATAACAACATTTTCGAGATGAATGAGCTTAAATTTGAGGATCATATCAAGTTGAATAAAAAACTTGCATCTGGCTGCTTTGTAGTGAAGTCAGTTTCGAAGGAACTAGGTAGAACCTTTGCAAGATCTGCGTACTTGGAAAGTATGCAGCAAAAGCATGCTGCAGACTGTTTTCGTTTTACAGAAGCGAGCTGTCCGGTATGTGTGCGGGGTAAAGTTCCAAGATCACTACAAACCATTATTCATTGAACAACGAATTCTGACAATAATATCTGTATTCATTCTTGAAACAGTAAGTCTGATTCATAAAAATATATCTGCTCGTGATGATATAAATGAGCCACACTATAATACACGTCAAGCTAACTTGATCAGACTTCCCCTGCCCACAATAACAATGGTGATGGACTCATTGATATACAATGGAATAAAGATGTACAACAAAATTCC